CTCGGCCTGTCCTTGGTTTCTTCAATGTCAACCGTACTCGACTACTTTCCCGAGAATCACACAGCTAACCACAGTACGCCCACTCAGTGAATAGAATTGTGGAGCGGACCCAAGAAACGAACTGACTTGAGGCTTACAGTCTACTTGCATGGCCATCCGTTACCCGCTTGCTCTGACTGAGTCCGCAAGTAATGAACCCGTCTGTCCGCTCGCCCCAATTCTACTGGATCCCCGCCATGGTCTAAGACTGTTAGGACTTGAACCTTGAAGAAGACTAGTAGAAAAGTATGAAGCCCATTCAGATTCGATGCTAACGGAAGTGTTTTGCAGCTGATTATGATAATAATAATAATAAATTTGTTATCATTATTATTATTATTATTATTGTTATTATAATCATCATTGTTGTAATTCTCTGCCACTTACTGTCCACAGAGAAGCCAGTGAGTACATCAATGCTATCGAAGAGCTACAGGTTCGATGGTCAGAAAGAACCCTGTAAGATTTTTTTACTTTTGATTTTACGTAGTTGCTTCGTGGTATAGATCTGGGGCCATAGAGCTATGCCTCCCCATGGTCACACTGTTCTCACAGGGCTAGCTAAGGGTGCGACCGGGTATCTCGCAGTATAACCCAATGTACGAGAACTCATAACTGCCAACCAGTACATCAAGAAAGTATTAAATATGTTTTTGAGGGTCAGAGGACGGAAGTTAGTTTTTATGTCAGAAAATATCTAATCTTTTTGTCTAGTTTTTGCTCCTCGTTAACTTGTCGACGTCAAAGAAATGTCGACCAGTCCGGACCTTGGTTACAAAATAATCTTTGAAAATAAAGAAGTATCTATGTTTAAGATTGGGGAATCATTCTCGTTCTAACGTTCATGTGCCCAGCTAAAGAACAACGACTGAGATCTTTCTAGTTCAGGCTTGACATTTGTCCCAAATTTCCTATGACAGTCCCAGATTCAGCAGGTGGAAATTTGAGAGTCTTATCACATACACTAGACCTAGACCAGTCCAACTTAATTGGCATAATTTTGTTCATGGTTACACAGTCAGATGTTATACAGTTGGCTGCCCCTGATTGGGTTTTCAAAAAGATGGCAAATCTTAAAAAAAATGTTTGCTAAGTGTTTTACGGCGCTCGCAACTGCATAAGGTCATATGAGCTTGCGGGACACGTTAAACATTTTCAGTAAGTAGGAAATTTTGAATTTTGCACGGGTGGTGGCCGAAGCCTACTCTTATTGGTTTTGGACCACTAAGGGATCTTTAGTGTGTGGCACTTGCACAAGGCTCCTCAGAGATTTTTCGCCCTTCTATGAGAAGGCTAGGTGTTAGATCTTACCTACCATAAGGTCAAGGGTGTGGCTGAAAGACAGCAGTAAGAAGGAGCCAGGGAGAAGCAGCATAAATACTGCAGAAAGAGTCAAGAGCCCTGAGGAGGGGGCAGAGGAGGTGAGGGGGTGGGGACAGAAAGTGGAGACAAAAGCAGACAACAGAACTTTGTTAGAGAGCTTCGTTGCTCTGCGGATTCGAACTCGGGACCTATTGAATGAGAGGCAATAACACAGAGTACACGAGAGCCCCCCCCCCCCGTTGACAAGTCTGTTGTTCTTTGTTCTATTTGTTCAATTACGTTCCATCACGAAGCAACCTGGCAGCCATTGTGTTGTTAGGCTTTATTTCTAACATTTTAGGAGCATTTAGACCTATGAAAAGGGTAGACTACTACCAATTGGTCAAATATTGTTGCTTTTAAGCACAAAGGGGTTATTCTGGAAAATAATACTGTTTTGAGAAATTCGAAGGTAAAGTTTTTGGACAAATGAAATCTATCTCTGCGGATTTGTTTTCAAATAAATTCTTCTCTGGTTTTGCATATGAGTCAGTTAGGACCTTGTCTGCCGTATAAGTCTATGTATAAATTACTGACAATTATTTACTCGATTAAAAAGAAATTAGATAAAAATGTTGGGTTGGCTCAGTTGTGCAGATATGCAGGAAACACCTTTGAAGCAAATTTGGGGGCAAAATGGGCCATCCCATCCAAAAGAAGGCATACCTTTCTATCAGGACTATTCCTGCATTAAAGTATAGACAAACAGTCTATCCCCTGTACAGCAGGCTAACCCACCAAGCTTGTCAACTCTTTATCATTGGATTAAGTGGTCTGGCCTAGCCATGTGAGCTTTACATTTTAAACATTTTCTACCAAACAGATTGGTACTATTATGTGGAACAGTACTTAAGTGAAAACTGATACAGTAGACTACAGAACAAAATTGATGAAAAAAACTTACCTGGTATGAGAATATTACAGTCTTTGGGATCACTTTCAACTGCGACATGCAGTGAACTCTTCGCTTGAGGTGTCAGTCATTTTTGGGGTTAGCCCATTTTTTAAAATTTTGGAAGTCTACAGTTTCTTTAAAAGACACGCAGAGTTTTCTCTATAACTAAACAAATATACACACTAATGAAACCAAACTTCTCTTATAGGTAGGGCAATGCTCACATTTGGTTTAGGTCAAGATTTCTTGAAACCCCCGAATCTGTTCGTTTGGACAGCTTTTTGGGTTATCCATTCTGATCACAAGGATGATGATTTGTTGTGTCTTATCAACACAGGAATCCTCTGCAGTATATAGAATTCATGTATAAGCTGACCCCTGGAGGTCGCAGGTTCTACCATCTGTGCGACATTGCACATAGAGAGGCTGAAGGCCTCATTGCAAAACGACAAAAGGAGTTGGTAAGTCGAAATGTTCTTATGAAATTTTCAAAGCAATGTAAAACCTTTATTTTTTTAACTTAAAAAGACTAACAGAATTTTTGTGCTTTTGTTTGTTCACATTTCACAGTTGTTCTGTCTACCATTATTTTTTTTCCAGTTATTCATTCCTTCTTTGAATCATTCTTTCATTTAGTCGTTCATTTATTCATTCATCCACTGAGTCATTCATTCAATTTGCCATCTATTTATGCTTTCTTTCATTAAATCATTCTTTCTTATATTGTGGTTAAAAATTGTGGTGCAACTTATCCTCCAATATCCTTTGAAAGAGTGAATCAATGTCACCCATACTTTGCACTATAGTTTGTATCAATTTATCGTCATCATCATCATCATCATCATCATCATCATCATTATTATTATTATTTTTATTATTATTATTATTATTATTATTATTATTATTATTATTCTGACAAATATGTCCTTCTGCTAAGGCTGGCAACCCTGATGCGGTGGGCCAGAGGAAGGTGAGAGATTTCCTGGACACTCTGCTCACAGCGCGGGATGAGGAAGGCAAGGGACTGACCCCGCTGGAGATCAGGGATGAGGTGGACACCTTCATGTTTGCTGGTGTGTTCATCTTTTTTACCTTCATGTTGGCTGGTGGGTTTATCTTCGTGTGTGGGTGGTTGGTGGGTGCTCTGGTGTGGTTTGCCTTTTCTTTCCTATCAAACTTCTATCTTTCTTATGATTTCCCCTCTTTCTTTTTTGTGTTTGTTACTTTCTTGTAACACCTCTAATCTTCGGCACTTATATGACCTTATTGTGTTGCAAGTGCCGTAAAACTCTTTTACTAAAACTAAACTATATTTGTGTACCTTCATGCTTGCTGGTGTGTTCATCTTTGTATACCTGCATGTTTACTGGTGTGTTCATCTTTGTGTGCATCTTCTAATTGCTTCAGCATAAACAAAATGCTAAACAGTTTAAACAGATTGATTTGGCAACTCAGCTTCTCTACCTGTGTTTGTTCTGCTCCAGATTTTCTGCCTCTTTCCTGCTAAGTTTATCTGCTATTGGGCACAGAAAGTTAGGAGTTTAGTTTAGTTTTAATAATAAGAGTTTTACGGCACTTGCAACAGCACTTATACGACCTATTTGTATTGAAGGTGCTGTACAACTCATCCTAAGACTAAAAATCGCTTCTCCCCCCCACCCCCCCACCCCCCCACCCCCCAGGCCACGACACAACAGCCAGCGGCATCATGTGGACCCTGGTCTCCCTCTCTCAACACCCTGACTACCAGGACCAGGTCTACAGGGAAGTCAAAGCTGTCTTAGGGGACAGGAAGGAGCTGCAGTGGTAAGTTTAAGTTTTTCTGACTTTTTATCTTCAATCTGAATGATCTTGCCAAATAAGTACAGTCAAACCTGTACAAACGGCCAGTTCCCATTGCCCCCTTGAGCGTTTTTCCACCTTATAATGATCTGATACTGTGAAAGACGTCGGCATATATAAGATGGTCATTTTTCTTCTGGGCGGGTCTTATGGGTTATGAGGGATCACGCACTTACCTCACCAGCAGCTGAAAATTTGTAACCTATTGGTCGACAGTGGGAGGGGTCAACGCAACATGATCGGTTGACGAGATTACCCAACAACAACGACGGGTGATTGGATATGGCGGCTGGCTCAGAACGTCAGGGGCCAATGCATGATTTATGATTAACATGACAAAATGTAATGGAGTTACCAAGGTGGCCGTCTAAGAATGGTGTTATTGTTTGGTGTGATAGGGTTTGTTATAGTATGGTGGCCGCGGCCGCTTTGGACAAGTGGCTGTTTTACACAGTGAAATTATGTAGAAAAAAAGCAAGGGGGAAAATGGAAAGTGGCCATTTGTACAGGTGGTCATCTTATAGAGGTGTCCATCATGGCAGGTTCGACTGTATTTATGATCATGATTATGATGATGATTATTATTATGATTATGATTATTATTATTGAGATGATGATGATGATGGTGATGATGATGATGATGGTATTTATTGTTACTATTGATATTATTATTTTATTGTTATTATCATTATTATTATTATTACTATCATTATTGTTGTTGTCGTTGTGACCACTAGGGAGGACTTGAGTGAGCTGCCGTTCACAACCCAGTGTATCAAGGAAACTCTGAGGCTGCACAGCACCGTGCCCGTCGTAGAAAGGTCTCTCACGGAAGACATTACAATCAATGGCCATACCTTGCCTGCAGGTAGCCCTTATATATTTAAACTGTAACAGAGGTTTGTTTCTCAAGTCCTTAATTTTTAAAACTTTCACAGTTATAGAACTGGGTGGTTGATGGTGAGTGCTCTGGTGGGGTTTGATCCTTATTTCTTATCAAACATCTATTGTCTTTATTTTGCCTCCTTCTTTCCTATCAAACATCTATCGTCCTTATCTTTTCTCTTTTTTTGCTTTGTATGTTATTCTCTTGTAGAACCTTTTATCTTCGGTTCTTATATACCTTATTATGTTACAAGTGCTGTAAAACTACTAAAATGCTAAAGCAGGTTTAGATTCAGTTTGGAAATTTCCTTATTGTGAAAATGCCTTGTCACTAAGAAGGAACAGTTGCACTCATGTACGCACACACAAGGAAAAAACAAAACACATTATGCTGAAACACTTCAGCTCAGTCTACATTCTCTCTCTCTCTCTCTTTCTTTCTGTCTGTCTGTCTGTCTGTCTGTCTCTCTCTCTCTCTCTCTCTCTCTCTCTCTCTCTCTCTCTCTCTCTCTGTCTCTCTCTCTTTCTTTATCCCTTTCTCTCTCTCTCTGTCACTCTCTCTCTCTGCCACTCTTTCTCTTTCTCTTGCTGTCTTTCTGACTGTCTATGATCTGTCTGTCTGTCTGTCTGTCTGTCTGTCTGTCTGTCTGTCTGTCTGTCTGTCTGTGTTTTATTTGTTAAAAATTTTAAAAAATCAATTAAGTGTTATTTTGCTTCCATGGACACAATTAAGATCTTGTAAGAGGTGACTGTTCATTTGTAGCACTGTGTGTCTGGTAAAGTCACTGACTGCAGTAGGTATGCATGAACCAACGACAGATCAGCTAGCGCGCTGGGTGTCCACTTCCTGTTTCTGCGACATCGATGTGGCTTAGTTCTCTGTGCCAGTAATAAATATCTACTAATGTTTAACCCATGACAAAAGGTACTCGCACAACGTATATTATTTTATTTATGTTTAATAACACCAAATGTTTTTCTTAAGTGCTGTTTTCGCGGAAGTCTCTTCTGTAAAATGTGTCAGCTTGATAGTGTTTCAGCGCTTAATTATTTATCAGCTGCTTGCTCTGTATGCTTCCCGGGAAGCTGAGAATGTTTTTGAGTGTTCTGTAGTCTGCTGGGGTTATAATATTATAGTGTAAAGCACACAGAGTTTGCTGTTGAGGGGAGGTATGCGCTATACAAATACTATTTATTATTATTATAATGCTTTATATGATGTGGGCCAGTGGCCTTTAACACTGAATAAAATGTCTGTCTTCCTCCCTCCTTTCCTCCCTTTCTCCCTCCCTACCTCGTTTCCAACCTACTCACTTCCCACCCACCCACCTATCTACCTCCCTACTTACCTACCTCTCCTCCTCCCCACCCGCCTACCTACTTCTCCACCTCCCTACCAACCTACCCACCTACCTACCCACCTACCTCCCCACCTTCCTATCCATCCACCCACCTACCTACTTACCCACCTACCTACCTCCCAATCTCCCCACCCATCCACCCACCTACCTACCTCCCCACTTCCCCACCCACCCATCTACCTACACACCTCCCCACCCACCCATTCACTCATCCACCTACCCACCTTTTCACTCACCCACCTTTTCACTCACCCACCTACCTATCTTCCCACTACCCCACCCACCCACCTACCTGCCCATCTACCTACCCACCTCCCCACCCACCCATTTACTCATCCACCACCCCACACACCCATTTACTCACCCACCCACTCACCTTTTCACTCACCCGCCCACCCACCTTTTCACTCACCCACCCACCCACCTTTCCTCTCCCCCACCTACCCGCCATGAAGGGTCCCGAGTAGCCCTTCAACTGTGGATGTTACACCACAACCCGCACGTCTGGGATGAGCCGTTCAAGTTCAAACCTGACAGATTTCACCCGAACAAAGTCGCCAAGATGGACCCCTACCAGTTTGTGCCATTCTCTGCTGGGTCCAGGTAATGTGAACAGGG